TGTTAGGGGTCGTTGAAAGCAGAGGAGTTCCGCAAATCCGAGAGCGCCGTGGACAAGCTTCTATGGAAGTTGCGGTCTGAGGACAGCCCTTTTCCCTTTTTTTTTGGGTTCTGGTTCCCTTATAAAGTAGCCAGCCAAAAAAGGGTGCCCTTATTGTGATATGGTTACTGGGCTACTCAGAATGAGGTACCCTTTAGAATCCTTTAAAGGGCATAGATAGGGCCCTAGTTCCCTCATTCCCCTGCTAAGAACCAGGGGGCTTCTGGGGGCGGGTTTATAGGGTTTAGGGACATTGGGGGGAGGTTTGTGTTTTGGGTTTCGGGGGGGTTTAGTGTTTAGGGCTTCAGGGCTTGCGGGGTTACAGGGTGTTTAGAGGGGTTTGGGTTTTGATCTTGGCTTTAGGATGGGGGGGGTGGGGGGGGCAAGGAGGTTGGGCTTTGGAGCTGCGGGCTTATACAGAATTTAGGGTTTCGGGTTTGGGGTTTCGGGTTTAAGAACCCTCTGCCCTGGACCCTGAACCACCCCGGAGATGCTTGGCGTAGTCGACTCCGATTTATCTCCTTTTGACAACAATTGAAAGGGTTGAGTGTCTAGTCTTTAAGGCTTTAGGGACCCTAAACCCTAAGCGCTTTTTTTACCTGGGTCCTAGGAAATTCTCGAAATGGGGGACCCTTTTATTTGCACCCAAAAGGTTGTTATAGTCTTTGCGTATTTTGAGACCCCGCCAAAAGGTACCCCTATGTCGTGGGAAACCTATATCGTGTTCTCTACTTCCATCGCCGGAATTCACAGAACTTCAAGTCAGGGTCTTCTTGATTGCTTCGGAGTCCCAAGTGGACGGAGTAACGCCTTGGATGCCAAACTCGACATTCGTGACGTTGGGGCTGAGGGCGCACTTTTTCCCCTAAGCCGAAACAGTACAGCAAGCCAAAGAAGTGTTCGGGGTTTAGGGCTTAGGGTGCACCCTACGCCGTAATCCCTAGCATTTGGGGTTCGGGGTGCAAGGGTACGGGTTTAGGGTACACTTTCGCGGCTTCGGGTTGTTCCCCCTTATACGAACAGTCCTCAGTAGGGATTCTAGTGCCCCCTGGTATAATTTCTAGTAAGGACTGCTAGTAGAAGGGGGCACGTCCCAAGCTTCGGGTTTAGAGTTTAGGGTTTAGGGTTTAGGGTTTAGGGTTTAGGGCTCTGACTCTAGCCCCTAGCATCCCCGAGCAGACAGGAGAGCAAAGCCTTCAAGGAATGCGTTTCCTTGGCCAGGAGCCCCAGAACATGGTTTTAGTGCTTAGGGTTTAGGGTTTAGGGTTTAGGGTTTAGGGTTTAGGGTTGGGATGTTCCCTTTTTATAGTAACAGTCCTTCATAGGTATTCTAGTACCCCCTATTATAATCCCTATGAAGGATTACTAGGTGAAGGAACATCCCAAGTTTAGAGTTTAGAGGGTTTAGGCTCCAGGTCTAGGGCTTTGAGTAGTTTGGAGTTTAGAGGGTTTAGGGCTTAGGGCTCAGGGAGGTCTCGCTTCTAGGGCTTAGAGTAGCCCAGTGCCCCACTACACAGGTGGGCTGTCCTACTACCCAAAATATTCGAGTGCAAAAAGTCTTCAAGCTCGGCATGCAAAGCCAACCTGGAAGGAAGATACAACGAGGGAAAGACACACATAGAGCCTTCGAGGGAAACGCCAACAAATAAACTTCCAAAAAGCCCTCGCAAGCCCTGTGACCCCAAACAGATCCACGAAAGGCAACGGCAAGCCCCAAAACGACACGGGATGCCCCAAGGGACACCAGAGGAAGAGCCCCCAAATACAAGCACTCCACCAAAGACCCATCAAACCCTCCCAAGAAGGACAGTTCTGGGGAGGAGGTTGAGCATACTGAGCAAACCTTGAGTTACCTCAGTAACATTTGCCGACCGGGTCTTTCGGAGCCGTTTTCAGTTCATGTCGTGTCCCGGCCGCGAAACCCTCAACCCGCTTGGAGGTCCGTGTTCAGGGTTCACAGGATGGTGCGGAGTCTAAATGAAGCTTAAACCTGAGCCGAAACCCACACCCCTTAGTTCAAAATCAAGACATGTCCTGCAAACCCCTGAACACCCCACGGCAGGTTTATTTTCGAATACCCCAAGAACCCAAGCTCTTACTTGGGATTTAGATATGGAAGTTGACAGAAATAGGGGGACCCCCCAATAGACCCCCAAATAGTAGGATCCCCTTATAGTAAGGATCCCAACAAGGTACCCCTAATATCGTAAACCCCCACATGTGCGAGCGTGCCCCCAGGGATACCGTGTCGCTCTAATACTTCAAGTTCCTTTGAAAAAAAATGGGCTTCCCTTTCACAGGTGGCTCGGAAAGCTAGAGTAGAGGGCTCTGCGATCAACATCGGGCTCTCTTGTAGCTGCAGCTCCGTCTTGATCTCCACCACTGTCACGTCCTAAGCTCGTCCTGAATTCTGCTGCTTTCCCTGAACCCCAAACCCAAACCTCAGCAATTCCTTTCTGTACTCCTTTTCTTGAACTTGGGGGAGGGTCGGAGGGTCGCGCTCTCCTTTTTAATCGGACGTGCAACGCTACATGTCAGCCATTAGCCCTACAGCATCTTCATACGCAGTACGCAGCACCCTACCCTAAACCCTAAACCCTATAAGCCCTACAAACCCTATAAACCCCAAATCCCCTAGACCTCTAGACCCCACAACTCTAAGCCCGGGGACCCTAAACCCTTTAAGTTTTAGGGTTTAGGAACTTCAGGAACCCTAAAACCCTGTCAAAGCAACCCCTTACACCCTAATGAGCCCCTTACACCCTAATGAACAATAAACCCTCAACCCTAAACCCTGAACCCTAAACCCTAAACCCTAAATCCAGCAAGGCACGGGCTACTGGCATCCCAGGCTCGGACAGCAAGAAGTCGTGACCTGCGCGAGCAAAAGCGCGTGAATCCCGGGTTTCGGGTCTAGGGTTTAGGGGGTTAGGGGTTTAGGGTTCAGGGTTTAGGGTGGTGCCCAAGATGTTACGTCGAAGTGTGTGCGACGCAGTGCTTGATCATTTTTCTTGTGGTACCTGAGTTCACTCCGTCTTTTGGGGGGAAGGAAGCGGGGGGTGGAGGGGGGACGGGTGGAGGGGGGGTGGAGGTGGGTGGAGTTGGAAGGGGGGCTTGGGGGGGTGGGGGGTGGTTGCTTGTGCCCCAAGTTTGCGCTCCCCAAACATCCCAAAGCACTGGTAGCTGATGTTGTTTGACGCTCTCCGTGGTCCGGGATGACATGTATGAGGCGGTCAGGCTTTGGATGCTTCGTTCTTGCAGGGGGTGGTAGCATATGTATACAGACATGCTGCACCAAGCCATCATTTCCGCTTGCTGCTTGCTGACTAAACGACATGACACAGGGTCGGGTAACTTGCTGGTTAAAGTCACCAAGGAAGCTACTTCTGAAAGGAGAGAGAGAGAGAGATGTGAGCTATCAACTGCGATGGTCGGTTGCAAAGTTTCGGCGGCGAGAGACATGGTCGATATCGGCATGCTCTCCTTGCTGCAGGCACGGCCCGTGCAGAGCTTGTGCAGAGCCCTTGCATGAACATCAGGAAGACATTCAAACTGCATCAAACATGTTTCCTGTAAGCACACCTTCAATCTTCATCATATGACAAAAGCTTGCCTTGATTATTTGTTGCTCGGACGCCTGTTTTTGGCGTTCCTTTTTAATGGGTCTTGATGAAGTCAGCCCCGATATGTCGCTGGCGTCGAGCACGTGCGGCAGTGAGAATGGCCGCAGCCCTGCATGCTTCTTGGCCTGGTGTTAGTGTAGTTTTTTTTGGGGGGAAAAGCTCTGCCCACTGGAGTCTTTGTCTCAAGGGCGGACAGAATCAATCTGGGACAGGGTTAATGAAATCAGGCTCCCGAAGCTCTGGTCCCTAAACCCGAAACCCGAAACCCTCCCAAAGCTGACGCGGACCAGGCTTAGCCAAAATGTACAGCCATCTGGATCCAGCGCGCCTGGGCTGCACAGGGCTGTTAGGTGGAAGGCTTTGAGTTTACGGGTTCGGGTTTGGGTTTATAGAAGTTGTACAGGGTTTGTGCGGCAGCCTTTGAGTTTAGTTTAGGGGTTAGGTTTATGGAAATTGCATAGTGTTTGTGTCAGGAGTCTTGCCGGTTTTTTCGGGGATGGGGGGGGTGGTCGGGTTTTGCCGCTTTTCTTCTGCTTTTGAATCAATTTACCTTTGTGACGACTTTCCAGCTGTCGTTGTCGGACCTTTTGGGGCCTCTTCCTTATGGCAAGAGATGGGTTTACGGTAAGTTTTGCCGGGTTTTGAAGCTGGAGGCACCGCAGTTTTGGGGCCTCCCGGGACCTGTTGCGGGGGTCTTTTGGCCTTTGGGGTTTTCGGGTACTTCAAGACCTGGCGTTGGGTGGGACTTTCGGGACTTTTCCTAAGAACCTTTCGGGATAGCGGGGCCTTCCATGAGAGGTTTTTTGTGGCCTCTTCAGGGCCTTTTTTGGGGCCTCCATCGTCCTTTTGGAGGCCTCGTAGGGGTCGGCGCCTTTTGGGGGGCCGGAGCTTTGTGTGGTGGGAGGCCTCGTAGGGGTCGGCGCCTTTTGGGGGGCCGGAGCTTTGTGTGGTGGCCTTCTTGCTGACAAACAAGACTAGGCATTTTCAAGTTGGAGTGTCCACACAGGCAAAACGGTGTAAATCAATGAGTGAGTCAGTGCTTTTTGTCGGCTTACAAAGAACTGTGTAAAGCCATCGGTTAGCTTGAGCTTGGTGAGGTGCCTCCTGGTGACAAGGATCCTTGCATTTTCAAACTGATCGGTTCTCGGGCGATGTTTCCTGGACTGGAAATTATGTAAGTCCATCGACATTGCAGCTTCGAAGCGAACCACACATCGTTCTATTTGTCCTCTATTTATCCTGGCAATGACGGATTAGGGTTTAGGGCTTAGGGTTGCACTAAGTTGCATTCCTTGAATGGAACCAACCATATGAAGCTTCATGCAGGGTACATTGGCAATGTCGCTGAAATCCACCATCCAAAGCATGCCACAGCTTGGGCCCCAGCAAGGAGCCTGCCATCTTGTCAGAACAATCCCCACCCTTTGAATTTCCCCAAAACCCGTAACTTCATAGCGACGAACCCTTAATTACAAACCTCGAAACCCTAAACCCTAAACCCTAAACCCTAAACCCTACACCCTAAACCCTAAACCCTGAGTCGAGGCTGCTTCGAGCCGTTCCGCTGAGCGTTTGTTTGGCGAACTGGGGCCGCCATTTCCGGAATGAAGATGAGGGCATGCTCCTTCTTTGCATAGTCTTTGTTCTTGTAGGGTTTAGGGTTTAGGGTTTAGGGTTGAGGGTTGAGGGTTTAGGGTTTAGGGTTTAGGGTTTAGGGTTTAGAGTTTCGGGTTTAGGGTTTAGGGTTCAGGGTTCAGGGTTTAGGGCTTTTTCTTGTTGCGCCGCGGTGCGCGCGCGTGCTTTGTGGGCCTTGGCACCTTCCCAAAAGCGAATTCCTTACCCAGCGATTTGGCAGTTTGCATTGTTTAGGGTTTAGGGTTTAGGGATCTTATTTTGAAGGGAAAGGGGTTTCGGGTTTAAGGTTCAGAGGTTTGGGGCCTTATATACAAATGACAAATATTTTCGTGTTTGAGGTGAGATCTCGTAGGTATAGCTGTGCAACAGCTGTGGGTCTCAGACCGGGACATCTCAACCTTGCAGAATGCACATAGCGGGTCGAACGGTTGACATCTAATTCGCGAAGTTCGCAAAGCTGTGTAGATCAAAGCACGTGCAGGTGTCCTCGCATGTCTGCAGATAACGGCACTGGTTGGGTGGTTGCGCTGCCCCTGTGCGCCATTTTGCGCGGTTGGACCTGCTGATCTGCTGCTCAAACCCTTCACCGTAAACCCCCCCCAAACCCTAAACCCTAAACCCCAAACCCGCATACAAGCATCTCATGATCGTTCCATGGCCCTCGCCCGATGTGCACGACCATTTAGCTGAATGCCATCTCTCTAGCAGGGCCCATCTCAATGAACTCGGGCTCAGATGGTGAGGAGAAGGATCCCTAAACCCTAAACCCTACACCCTAAACCGCAATTCTGCACCTGACTTCTCAACCCCCCGAAAGCCCTACACAAACACCCTCAGCCCTTAACAGTCATGTGGGGTGCGCTCTAAATTAGGCTCCCGCTTTTGAGTACCCTTTCTCATATCGCGAAAGGCACCCTAATGTAGAGAACTACTATAGGGGTCGGAATAAAGACAAAACAGTCTTCCCTTATGGTCCCCATATCACTATACTATAACAACCCACCAAAACCCTATTCGAATTCTTAAGGCCCCTATCCGAATCATTAAGGCCCCTATCCCTAAACCCTAAACCCTAAACCCTAAACCCTAAACCCTAAACCCTAAACCCTAAACATGTTCGCTCAGGTTCCGCATCGAACCGGTGAATGACCATCTCAGCCAAAAGACTGACCGGACGCGGGGGCTCAACTTTTCAGTTTAGGGTTTAGGGTAATGGGGTGTAGGGTTTAGATTTTAGGGTTTGGGGTAGTAGGTTTAGGGTTTAGGGTCTAGGGTCTAGGGTCTAGGGTTTAGGGTTTAGGGTTTAGGGTTTAGGGTTTAGGGTTTGGGGTTTAGGGTTTAGGGTTTAGGGGCTAAGAGGGTTGAGGGCTTAGGGTGTTCCTGATGCTCCCAGCTGCTTGAGCGATTCTTGGGCTGTCCGTGTCAGACGAATGCCCGTGAAGCAACCGATCAGCCACTAATTGCTTAAGAACCCCGAAAAAACACAACAAAATGTTCTTCCTTATTGCGGGTACTATAGGGATGTTTAAGTTTTTGTTCTTTCGGGGGGTCTTAAGCAAATCGTGGTCAACCCTTTCTTTGGTCAAGGCCAGACGAGAGCCTACGAATCAGGGTTTCTAGGTTTTTGGGTTCTACTACTTGCATAAGAACCCCCCCCCCAAAGAAACAAAGGAAGAGTTTGGATTTTCCTGGGGAGGGTTCTGAAACAAGAAACGGTAGGGTTTATGTAGGTCAAGGGTTTCCGAAAAAAAAATCTCCCTAAACCCTAAACCCTAAACCCTGCTAAGGATAGACAATTTTCTCAGCCACGATTGGGGCACCGGCCGCTTCGTGAAGGCACCCGGAGCCGGGTTTCAAGGTGATAGGGTTTAGGGTTTAGGGTTTAGGGTTTAGGGTTTAGGGTTTAGGGTTTAGGGTTTAGGGTTTAGGGGTTAGGGTTTAGGGTTTACGGCTTCGGGTTTAGGGTTTGGGGTTTGGGGTTTGGGGTGTGGGGTTTGGGGTTAGGGTTAAGGGTTTAGTGGAGTTTCCGAAATTAGGGGTACCTTGGTCCTTCTTATAAGGGAATCCTATTCATTTGGGACTATATTAGGGCGCCCCTATTTCGTGAACCCCCATAAGGTCCGTGCATCGTAGAGGATCTTGAAAAAGGTAGGATACAACCTTAGGTAGAGTACGCGTGGGGATCGCAGAAGCCCGCTCTATGATCCTGCCGGCTGTCAGTGTGAGCTTGAAGCGGTGTTTCGGTGTAGCTAGGAATCGACAGCATTCATCGCGCTGCTTCCTGAGCACAAAGGATCCCGGGTTCTTTAGCGCAGGGGATCCGGGAAGCAACTCCATGTTCGTACCCTGAACCCTAAACCCTAAACCCAAACCTGAACCCTAAACCCTAAACCCTAAACCCTAAACCCTCAACTCTACTTTTCTAGCTGGCCTTCAGGTGCTGACCCTGCTTTGGATATTCAACATCCGAGCCGCCACGATTGCAACCTTTCTTATCAGTTGCCTATTTGGCTTCCTCCGCATGTCTGGCATCCCAGCTGCAAAGTGGGTTTAGGGTTTTAGGGTTTAGGGTTTAGGGTTTAGGGTTTAGGGTTTCGAGTTTAGGGCTCAGGGTTTAGGGTACTTGGAGGTTCATGGTACTTAGTAACCCAACATCACTGTACGTACAACCCAATCATCTCCCTATTGGGGTACTTAAGGGGCTCATATGTGGGTTATAACTACACCTATAATGGGTTACTAAGTACCCGGGACCTCCAAGTAGGGGCCTTCATGATAGGGTTTTTGGGAGTTAATATAGTAAAGTTATATAGAGACCATGAACAATTAGAGTAAGGGTTTTGGGTGCTAGTTTAGTAGAAGTATATAGGGACCATAAGGGAAGACCATTCGTAATTATTCCGACCCCCATATTCGATTCTGAAAGGAGTCTGATGTAGTCTCAAGTCCCCAAAAGAGGCAATTGGAGTCTTCAGTGTTGTGTTTGGGCTGCGTCTCAACCTGCTTTGAGTGTGATTCTTGACCTTGGCAGACCAGGCATGGGCAGCATGCTGAACCACTGGTGCTCCATCCTTTTCGGCTATGCGACGTTCGTGGTTGTTCTTTGCTGGTGGCAGAGAATTCAATCTCTTGTTGGCTTCAGGCAGGGGCCACAGCCCAGGTGTTGCAGGCTTCCTTCTTCGTGGGCATCCGACATCGAAATCCGAGTCACGAGACGTAGGGGGGGGTTTAGGGTTTTAGGGTTTAGGGTTTAGGGTTTAGGGTTTAGGGTTTAGGGTTTAGGGTTTAGGGTTAGGCAACATGCTGGGCTGGGCTGCAGGCGGAAGGTTTTCCTCGACAAGCTGTGCATCGCCCAGTACGATGCGAAGCTGAAGCAGGAGGGAATCTTGGGAGCCTCGATCGCATGGCTGGAAACTTAGAACTCAAACCCTGAACCCTAAACCCGTACGTTTGTGTCAGGTTGCGGTCGGCGGTTTTGGAGGAAGAGGCGAAGGTCACTTTGGGGATTCGATCTCGTATCGCTGCAATAGGCCCAATACAAGGAAGACTAGCCAGAGAGACTCCCAGTCCATGGTGTCGGGTATTATGCGGTCGGGTCATGGTCGTGCGAACACCGGAGAGGTGTGTCGATGAGTTCTCTTGAAGTCGAGTTTACTGCGCTAATCTTCCGTTCTCCCGACTTTGAACTCAGTGATATTACCAAAGGGTTTGTGCGACATGCTGTCGAGTCAACGGATCGAGGGCAGCTGGCGTTTGACTACCTTCCCCGGCTACGCCTTGGTTGGGCCTAATTGCCAGGAGTTCTTGCAATGTCAACATGCGCCCCCAGACGGAAAGATGCCTCAGCAGAACCCTAAACCCTAAACCCGAAACCAAATTCAGGATTAGCCGGCTTCCTACAGAAGTCGAACGCGCTCACGATTCTGTGGACGCCACGTTGGGCAACCCGCCTTTGGTGCACGTGGCGTGGCCTTAAAGCTTTTGCAGGGTTTAAGGTTTAGGGTTTAGGGTTAAGGATTCAGCATCTCAAGTTCAAGCATTCACTAGTCAAGCTCGCTACTCCGGTGCCGAATATCCACCCACCCACCCTTTGGACCCCATACTATTATGAAAATATTTTATTTCTCGTTTTTACCAGAATTATCGGTACTTGTCCACGACTTGTTGGTGCTTATCCGTGTACCAACAATAAGTAAACGAGTTCTTCTTTTCTGCGAATTGTCGGCAAAAGCATCCGGTTGGAAAAGGAACGGTTTCAAGGGAGGGTTCTTGTTTTCTTGCACGTGAGCTTTGGCTGGAAGGGGGGGGGGGTCCTGTCACGGCTCCAAGGGGTGGTCCTGGCACGGGAGCTTTGGCGTCCGGTTTGCGGTTTGGACTCCGGTTCGGAAAAGGGGGTCCAAGGAAGGGGGCCCCCAGGGAGAAGGCCACCAGGGGTAAAAAAACAATATGCCGACGAAGGGCGTCAGGGTTTAGGGCCCCTGCCCCTAGGGCCCTGAACGGGAGCCCCTGTGGGGGGGGACCCCAGGAATCGGCCAAAAGTGGCCGATTCCAGCTGAGTTTTAAATAGAATTTATATGGCAGAAATGACCCTCTCAATTTTCAGATTCTGGTCCAGGACCCAGGAAAAAAGCAATATGCCGACGAAGGGTGTCAGGGTTTAGGGCCCAGAAAAAAAACAATATGCCGACGAATCCCATTAGGGTTTAAATATACATAGTAAGAGAGGGTTTATTTAGTCAAGCACACCACCGCCCCTACCGTACCGAACAAGAGTTTTAGGGTTTAGGGTTTGGGGTGGTAGGAGACTGTCAGGGGGTTGGGACAGGAGATGAGTCAAACTTTCGACTGTTGCAGTATACTTTTGCACGCAGCAATCGCCTGGCTGATTTTCTTGTTGCTGCCCGCAGGAAGTCTGGGGTGAAACCCCCGCACAATGCCTAAGCCATGTAAACCCTAAACCCTAAACCAAAAACCCCTTCGGAGTGAACTGGAATCGTACTTTCCAAGAAGGAAGTTCACACAATTGAGCAGGAAAGAACTTCAAGCCTCAGCAGTTCCTCAGGAACGCTTTCCACAAGGGCAAGAACTGTACATGGGCCTGAAATCCGAAACCCTAAGCCCTAAACTTTAGAGGCTTGGGAGCGCAGTGAGCCCCCGCAGCCTAAACCCTAAACCCTAAACCCTAAACCCTAAACCCTAAACCCTAAACCCTAAACCCTAAACCCTAAACCCTAAACCCTAAACCCTAAACCCTAAACCCTAAACCCTCAACCCAACAGAGGTACGAATTGGCTGCCTTCATGCAAGAGGCGAACAGGCCCATTGAGCTCATGCCAGCGACTGGTTCAGAACTAGGTAGGATGTAGGGTTTAGGGTTTAGGGTTTAGGGTTACGGGTTTAGGGTTTAGGGTTTCCAGGTACTAGGATGCCCAGTAGTACCCTTATTCCCATTTTTGGCGGAGTGTTAGGTTCCATGTTGAGCCTTTTTTCCGGCAATGTGGGCAGACCGGTCGCTTGTGCCCGCTTTAGGCTGGTCAGTTGTGCCCGCCTTACGCGGGTCACTTGTGCCCGCGTACGTGCCTCAAATCACAGCAGGGCCGCACTTTGGGCCACCTCCCGCCAAAACGCAGACCTGTCACTTGTGCCCACCTTTCGGTCTTAAAATATGGCAGGGCCACAGGATGAGGTGTTTGTCGGTTGAAAAGTCGCGTCCCTGCCACTCCGGCTGACCGTGCAGGGCGCATCGGGCAACAACAGTCGTTTTTTTACCCCTCCAAACCCGAACCCTGGACCCAGAAACAACTGACCTGAGGCCTTGCGTGGAAGGCTCCCCTTGGGTCAGATGTCTGTAGACGCCCAGCCCGCCCAAGCCCCCCCTCGCCCCCTTCCCCCTCCACCCCCTCCCAAGCACTGCGGCTGACCGTGCAGGGCTCCCCCTGCGGCTGACCGTGCAGGGCGCGTTGGTCAACAACAGTCGTTTTTGCCCCTCGAAACCCCCCCCCATCCCCTCACCCGTTTCCAGGGCGGGTGACTGGGTGTGGTGTGTGGCGTCAAACAAGCTTATTCTTATCCCCCCCCCCTTCCCCCTCCCCCCGTTGCAGGGCGGGTGACTGGATGCGGTTGTGTTGAGCGCGTCAAACAAGCTTATTCTTGTCCCCCCCCTCCACCCCCCTCCCCCCTCCCTCACCCGTTAGGACTGGATGTGGTTGACTGGATGTGGTTGTGTTGCCCCCCCTCCCCCCTCCCCTCACCCGTTTCCAGGGCGGGTGACTGGGTGTGGTGTGTGGCGTCAAACAAGCTTATTCTTATCCCCCCCCCCCCCCCCCCCCCACCCCCCCCCGTTGCAGGGCGGGTTGACTGGATGCGGGTGTGTTTGGTGAGCGCGTCAAATAAGCTTATTCTTGTCCCCCCCCCCCCACCATCCCCCCCCCCCCCCTCCCCCCCCCTCCCCCCTCCTCACCCGTTGGGACTGGATGTGGTTGACTGGATGTGGTTGTGTTGCCCCCCCCAGGGCGGGTGACCGGCGTCAAACAAGCTTATTCTTATCCCCCCCCCCTCCCCTCCCCCCCGCCCGTTGCAGGGCGGGTGACTGGATGTTATTCTTGTCCCCCCCCTCCCCTCCCCCCCCCTCCTCCTCACCCGTTGGGACTGGATGTGGTTGACTGGATGTGGTTGTGTTGACCGCCTCAAACAAGCTTATTCTTATCCCCCCCCCCTCCCCACCCCCCCACCCCCCCAGAAACGTGGGCACAAGTGACGGGGTACGTGGGCACAAGTGACGGGGTACGTGGGCACAAGTGACGGGGTACGTGGGCGCAAGTGACCCGAAACCGCGTGGGCACAAGTGACCGCGATCGCGTGGGCACAAGTGACGGGGCTGCCGGGGGGGGGCACCCTAGGTTGCCGGGCAACCTAGATAAGAGACCCTAAACCCTGAACCCTAAACCCTAAACCGGTCAGATGACGCCTGCTAGCATCACATGTTTGGTTCCGTATGCTCGGCCTCCTTTTTCTGCTTTACTGTACAGTGACTAGAGGGCTTTCGTGTGCTGTGGCCATTGGAAAGCGATGGGTGCTTCGTGCCATTTAGCAGTCTTCCTGCGCAAAACTCCAGCCAGAAGCCTAAACCCTAAACCGTAAACCCTTGACCTAAACCCTAAACCCTAACCCCAAACCCTAAACCCTAAACCCTAAACCCTAAACCCTAAACCCTAAACCCTAAACCCTAAACCCTAAACCCTAAACATGCATCTGGGGGGCTTGATTGAATCATGTCCCCGGTTTCGTGAGTGCTGCTGGGAAGTAAGGTGAAGATGGCCGGCATATTACTGATGCAGTCGCTTGGCTTGTGTCTGAATTCGGATGCAAAGTTTAGAGTTTAGGGTTTAGGGTTTAGGGTTTGGGGTTTGGGGTTTGGGGTTTACGGGTTTAGGGTTTAGGGTTCAGGGTTTAGGGTTTAGGGTTTAGGGTTTAGGGGGGCATAGATTTGTCGCACCTTACATGATCAGGAATCTTCGCTGGCTTTGAGAGGAACACAACATGGCCCATGTCCCGCTTGTTTCAGATCTTCTTGCGTTGTATGAGTTTGTGAGAGTCAGCCTGGTCAGTTTATGCATCAACAACGAGAGTCCAAGGCAAAGGCGTTCCGTGAGTCAGATCTTCCTTCCCACAACCTGGTATCCTTGGGGGACAGAACTAGTTGCTATTTGCTTTAGAACCGCCCAAAAAAAGCGAAAAGATTCTTCATCAAAAGGTAATATAGGCAATGTAAGGATTATTCTTCTTTATTTGTTGGGGGTTCCTCTGCAAATAGTAGACAGAACTACTATTTGCTTAAGAACCCCTCAAAAGGGCAGTAGAGGAATTATTTCTTCTTTATTTGTTGCCGGGGGGGGGGGGGGGGGGGGGGGGGCGCTTCAGCAAATGGCAGAACCCTAAACCCTAAACCCTAAACCCTAGACCCTAGACCCTAAGCCCTAAACCCTAAACCCGAAGTAACCCCAAAAAGGTGCGCGTGCTGGATGGCGCTCTCCATCGCCTATGCCATCGTGACGACCGCTCGCTCTGCCGATGAAGGCCGTTTCGGGGGAAGATTCTGGGGTTTAGAGTACAGGGTTTGAGGTTTAGGGTTTAGGGGTTATAGAGTACAGGGTCTTGGGGTTTCGGGTTTATAGAAATTGTACAGGGTTTGGGTCCCAACAACGTGGTGAACGTAACGTTCTGAACGAAGCGTTTTGAACGAAAGTATTGAGGGAAAAGTTTCGAGGGAAAGTTTTGAGGGGAAGCTTTTCTGCTTTCATATCTAGTTTTCCGGGAGTTTTTGACCGGGAAAGTTCTGAGCGAAAGTGGAGCTTGGGGAGGTTTAAGTAAATTCATCATTTGGCCTCGCGGAGGTACTTTGGTTTAATTTACTCAGACTCGGCTTATCAGCTGTTTTTGACAAATATCTTGGCAAATTCCGAATGATACCACATACAATTTCTATTCCTTTTGACTTGAGGGTTTAGGTTTAGGGCTCACAGAAATTGTATAGGCTTTGGGCCCCAGTAATGTTTCGAACGAAACTGTGAACGAAACGTTTTGAACGAAGACTTGTTGCTTTCATACCTCATTTTCCGGAAGTTTGGACCGGGATTTGGAACTTAGGGTTTAGGGTTTAGGGTTTAGGGTTTGGGGTTTGGGGTTTGGGGTTTGGGGTTTGGGGTTTAGGGTTTAGGGTTTAGCTTAGTGGGACAACAGTAGTGCTGCAAGATCACGTCGCTCTTCTCTGGCTGCGCACTGCTGCACAAGCAAAGCTGTCGAGGCTCAGTTGTAGCCCTGGGTATCGGTCTTGTGTCACGAAAGCCACCCTAAACCCTAAACCCTAAACCCTAAACCCTAAACCCTAAACCCTAAACCCTAAACCCTAAACCCTAGAGATTGTGCGGACATATGGTTCCGCGGACGGAGCAAGACTGGAGATGAGCGCGGGCTCCGTAGCTTAGAAGTGGAAAGTGCGGCCATGCTGAGATCGGATGTACAAGAGAGGACATTGAACTCAGGGTTTCTTTCCGGCTGTTCCATCAGGAGCTCAAGGGCTCTAGGGCTCTAATGTTTAGGGCTTATATAGGGTTTAGGGTTAGTATAGGGTTTAGGGTTTAGGGTTAGTTTAGGGTTTAGGGTTCTACACACCGGAACGCAGTGTGGATTGTGTCGTTACGCAGCCCTCCCAAAATTGCCTTTAAGTGTGCCGCGCTTGCAGAGCAAGGCTGTCAGGTCAACCGGAAAAACAGCAATCATACTCACAACATCAGCGAGACATTGAATATGCATTGGGGGCATCATCATCAGCATGTTGTGTGTGTGAGAGGTGTGGGGAACATGTGTTTTGATTCAGGCTTTGACAGGAAAGGGTTCATGCCTGACGAAGTGGGTGAGTCAGAGGACGAGGGCTGAGGATCTCACGCCGGCCCTGGGGGCACAAGTGTGGCCATTGCTAGGCTTTCTGCAGGCTACTGTAGCAGAAGAGCACCAGCATAGCAGCATAACAGTACAGTACATAGCACCAAAAAACACACAACAAGTAAGATTCGAGTGGCACCATTCGGAAGCACAGCCTCAAACAAAGGCCATCCAACTCTTACGTGGCTGTGAGGTGGGCCAGGCAAACAAGAAGAAAGCTTCGTCGGCCAGCCTTGGCCCATTTCGAGGGTTTAGGGTTTAGGGTTTAGGGTTGAGGGCTTAGGGTTTAGGGGTTGGGGTTTAGGGCAGAGGTGTGGCTTCTAGCCAAGTCTGGAGACGGGGCACCAGTGAACACAGAACCCACGAGCAGGGGCGCAAGAAAGATCACAAGGGAGAACAGCAGAAGCACAAGCTACGTTTAAAGTGCTAGTTCATGCCCTGGGTCCTGGGTCACATGGTCGATTCGATTCTGACTAATGGCGGGACTAAAGGCGTGGGGGGCGGGGGGCTCTTTGGAGTTTTTGTATTCTGGGCAGTAATCGGGAAGTCGGTGCCCTCAAAGTGCAGTCGTTGGCTTTACGATTCAGGTAAAAGTCGGATTGCAGGACCATATCTGATGGGACTTAGAAACCTGTGTGTTTCTTGTGATCCTGGTTGAGCGCACCGTTACGAGGAATATGACAGACACACAGCATGGACGCCTCAAGCAAGCCTCAATTTGGTCTTCTCTCCTTCATCATGGTTTTCCTGACTTGTTCTGACACCAGGTATTGCGGTGCTGCTACTACCATCTTCATGACCTAGTCAAGCTGGCAGTAGCGACTGCCCGTCAGGTGATATGCACGGTTATCAGCTGACACTTATCGGCCTCGCAATGTACGCTGCCCCTGGGATGCCATGATCATGTTTCAGTCCCAAGTCGCGACTTTGAAGCCCCCGGTTAGGAAGGACATGTAGGGTTTAGGGTTTAGGGTTTAGGGTTTAGGGTTTAGGGTTTAGGGTTTAGGGTTTAGGGTTTAGGGTTTAGCGTTTATAGAAACTGTACTGTATAGGGTTTGGGTCCCAAAAACTCCTTTGGCACCGGCCAGCCTTTTCTTCATAGATTGAGATAAAAAGGTTGGCCGACAGTCACTAAACTCATGGGTCAGCTTCTTTTCACCGGCCAACCTTTTGCTCTTGTTTTAGCACAGCAAGGTTGGCCGGTTCCAAAAACGCGCTTTTTCACCGGCCAACCTGTTCTCTTTAAAAAAAGAGAGCAAAAGGTTGGCCGGTGAAAGTAGCTGACGCAAGGTTGGCCGGTGAAAAAAACGTGCTTTTTCACCGGCCAACCGCCCTGCTCTCTTCAAAAAGAGCAGAAAAGGTTGGCCGGTCCAGTTTGAGCCTGCCGGGGCCTAATTTGGGGTTTCCCGGCTCCCTGCTCAATGTTGCGCTTAATTTGGGGTTTCGCGCAGCGGGGGGGGGGGGGGGGGCTGGGGCTGGCCTGGGGGCTAGGGTTGTGGGGGCTGGAAGGCTGGGGGGCTTGGGGGGTTGGGGGGAGCTGGAGGCTGGGGCTGCGCTTTGGGATAAACACATGCTTTTGAGTATCTACTCAACTCGGCGCGTCAGCTGTTTAGACAATACTTGGGAAATTCCGAATGATACCACCAGGCGCTTTGGATGAATACTTAAACTCTGCTTGTCAGCTGTTTAGACAAATAAGTTGGGAAATTCAGATGAGACCACATACAATTTCTATTTATTTTGCCTTGAGGGTTTAGGGTTTAGGGTTCAGGGTTTAGGGTTTAGGGTTTGGGTTTAGGGTTTAGGGTTTAGGTTTAGGGTTTAGGTTAGGTTCAGGGTTTAGGGTTTAGAGGGTTTTAGGGTTTTTAGGGTTTAGGGTTAGGGTTTAGGGCAATGTTCCATAGCCGTCCACCATATTATTGTTGACGCCACGCGACGCGCCTCAGCCTGGCCTGCCCAAGCGGCGAGGCCACCCAAACCGGAGATCGGCTGCGAAGGTGCTGTTAAGGCTTCAGGGCTTTGAGAGGCCCTATACCCCCAAACCCCAGACCCCAAGCACCAAACCCCAAACCCCCCAAACCCTAAACCCTAAACCCTAAGCCCCATTCGTGCATTCTTCTGGGCTGCGCGTTATGGCTATGCGCTTTTGGCCAGGCTCGGGTTCCGCCACCCACATGCCACGGAAGGAAGGAAGGAAGGAAGGAAGGAAGGAAGGCTTCGTGCAGTCATTCCCTTTTTGAGGATCTTGTTGTAAAACGCAGGCTCATGTAATTCTAGACAGTTGTAAAACAAGAAAAACAAGCCCTGGACGGGCAGAGGTGAGGGGACGGGGTGGGGGGTGGGGGGTGGGGGGGGGGGGTTTCCGCTTGAATGCCACTGTCTGCTCCCGCACTCGGCTAGGGGCGGGGGGGGGGGGTACCCATTCCAAGCAGAAGAGTCTGTACTAGAGGGGTTGAGGTCGTGTTTTTTGAACCAAGAACCCGGGATGTGCCCTTAGGCACCACGGGGAGGGTTTAGGTGGGGTTTGGGGGTGCGTACCTGACACCCTCGGCCCGAGGCCTCGGTAGTATTGGTTGTTAAACAAAGTCGGCGAAGCTTTGTCTCTTTTCCCAGGTGGTCGTGATCGCTCTGATTGCTTCCATGGTGTACATCGGCCAGTGGCTCATGCAGGAGCTGCCTGGATCAATGAGTCGAATAGAAGTGCTCAGAAGGGCTCTGGGCTTCAGTGGAAAGCCAAAGCCATGAAACACTGCTGTAGAGACTAGGTGGAGCTTCGCATACATGGCAAGCTCCAGCAGTCTTTGGAAACTGGGCTGACGTGGGGCTTAGGGTTGCCTTTCAGTTCGAGCCTGAAAAGCTCGGAGACTTCGCACAACCTTGGATGGACAGTGGCTCAAGGTTTTCACATGTGAGGTTGTTCGTGGAGGTTTCATGTTACCGGAGCATTGGTGGGGTGAGGCTTCAGGATTTCGGGCTTCACGGCTTGCCGTGGTGCTTTTGGTGTGTTTGGCCTCCCCCTGGGTGCACCCCAGCGGGAGATAAGGCACCCCTTTGAGCCTCAGTGCCTTCTTGGGTTTAGGGTTCGGGGTTTAGGGTTTAGGGTTTGGGGTTTAGGGTTTAAGGTTTAGGGCTTCTATACAGCACAACTCTCATCTTCAGTCCACAAGACTGGGCGTCGAAGCCTTCTGCAGACCCTGCCTGGTACTTGTGAAGTGCTTCGAGGATTTTTTCCCTAAACCCTAAACCCTAAACCCTGAACCCTGAACCCTGAACCCTAAACCCTAAACCCTAAACCCTAAACCCTAAACCCTAAACCCTAAACCCTAAACCCTAAACCCTAAACCCTAAACCCTAAACCCTAAACCCATCCAGGCGGCACCCCAGAGCCTCATGTTTCCTCTCGTCGTCTTCGGAGCTCGGACGCTTTTCGGGCCGGCATTGCAAATGGTATTCCCTTCCCCCGAATATGTAACCCCCCCCCCCTACCCCTAATATTAAATACTCCCATTATAGCTACGTCTCTTGTAGTGTATGGGGAGTATTTAATATTAGGGGGTAGGGGATGGGGGGGTCATTTTTCGGGGGAAGGGATCACACCTTGAGTCTCGGGCTGGTCCGCAGCCGAGAATCTCCTGTCAAACAGGTCGGACACAACATTGTCATCTTTACCAGGTCGCGGACCTCTACATTTTAAGCTCAAGTTTTCAAATCCCTTACACAATTTTGTTGGAACTAGGCACATTCAGTGGAATTCAGTTCGTGCGTTAAGGTTGGCTGAGCTGCCGGGGCAGCTGAGGGCTTTTCGAATACAAGATGTGGCCCGGCTTTGCAAGAATGGCGGATTCTGCAAAGCATTCCATATAACCCTAAACCCTGAACCCTAACCCTAAACCCTAAACCCGAAACCCTAAACCCTAAAACCCTAAACCCTAAACCTCCACTGGCTCTTGCTTAAAACATCAGCGATGCAGCATGCACAGGTGATGAGCCCTTTCAGACAGTTTGCCCTTGCTCTCGCCGCCAGAGTCGCTTCCTTGGAGCCGAGGCCAAATGCTACTGCTGCGCACACGGCCACCGCCATCCAAAGACGGGGGAGAGAATTCCTTGCGATCGAGAGTATGTCTCCTGATAGCGACCAGACCTGCAGCACCTGAGTGTAGACGGCTTGATACGAGTCCTCATTCACAATTTCCACGGCTGTCGAATGATCGACATGACGTTTTGACACATCCTGTCCTGCAAAGGGTTTTCATCCCGCACAGTCCGAGGACCGAGGAATTGAGGGGGTACAGGATGCGATTAGACAAATAATTGTGAGAGAGTTTAATGCTTAGGGTTTAAACCCTAAACCCTAAACCCTAAACCCTAAACCCTAAACCCTAAACCCTAAACCCTAAACCCTAAACCCTAAACCCTAAACCCTAAACCCTAAACCCTAAACCCAAACCCTTTAGGGTTGCCAGACTTTCTGCACTGCCAGCAGAGGTGTACTGGATGCTTCGAAGGCCGGACAGTCCAGAGACGCAGCACTGAGACCGATCGACTGAGGGGTGCACAGTGCACACTTGCGTTGGATTTTCTGCAGGGTTTAGGGTTTAGGGTTTAGGGTTTAGGGTTTAACCTTTAGGGTTTAGGATTAAGGGTTTAGGGCTTGGCTCCAGGTATTTTCATCATCATGATCTGGAAGCACCGGAGTCGCACCTGGATTCGTTGCTCAACTGCAGAGGCCAGAGATAAGCAGCCCGAGGCCGTGGCTGGCAGTTCAGGCGAGCTACGTGCAGGTAAAGGATCCACTTGCAGGGGGGCTTGCAACCCCAAACCCCAAACCCCAAACCCCAAACCCTAAACCCTAAACCCTAAACCCTAAACCCCCTTCAGTCTTATACCGGCCATGTCTGAGAGCGAAGCTTAGAGCAAGAGTGGTGTCACGGCCAAAAGTATGAGGCGGAGGCTCAGTCTGCCTACTACAATCTAGGGGGTCGGAATCATTACTAATAGTATTCCCTTATGGTGCCTTTGTACTTACACCACAATGCCCCCCCCCCCCCCCCCCCCCCCCAAAAAAAAAAAAAAAAGAGGTTCCAGTTATTAAGGCCCCCATAGCAGCCTTCAGTGCCATGATGAGCGCAGGCCCGAACGCTTCCCACGCCCCAGGTTCAATGCCCTGGTGAGAGAACAGCTGGCGCCGGTTGTGCTCAAGCAAGCAGGCCGACTGCAGGGTCTTCTGCACCAGCAGAGCAGCAAATCGAACCCCGACAGACCTTCAACTTGCGTCCTTAGGGTTTAGGGTTTAGGGTTTAGGGTTTAGGGTTTAGGGTTTAGGGTTTAGGGTTTAGGGTTTTAAAACCAAGCCCGGAGAAAGCTTTGCAGCTCCTTGAGTGGCCCGATGTCACTGCGCGTTGCAATTGCTGCACTTGGGGCCTGCTATCCGAAGAAACATCCCACTCTCAGGTTCTCTTGTCAGTCAAATGGTAGTTTAGTATGGGCCCTTGGGAGCATTTCCAACACCATCCCGTTGATCGGCAGTCTTCCTTGCTCATCATTAAACTCCAGGGCATCTGCTGGTGAAGAGGGCGGATGAAGCCTCAAAACAGGCCACTTTTGTGACAGCACAGAACTGCAAGCTCGAAGTCAACATTGGAGGACGGTGAAGTAGCCCGAAGCCCTAAACCCTAAACCTTAAACCCTAACTCCTTAACACCCTGTTGGAGAAGCCTTGAGGTGGAAGCACATTGCCTTTGAGTTACGCCCTCTACGCTTGTGCCGCCTGCAACTTCCCCTGGCTCATCGACTACATCCCCTGGTGGGCCGAAGGATATTCTTCAGGCTCGTGGTCAGACAAAGCTCGTATGTCTTGGCAATAAATCAGGGTTTACTGTAGGGTTTAGGGTTTAGGGTTCAGGGTTCAGGGTTCAGGGTTTAGGGTTTAGGGTTTAGGGTTTAGGGTTGGGGGTTAAGGGTATCTGCGTTCTTTGGCTGCCACACAACATGCTGTCAACCCTACCAGTCCGTCTGAGCAGCTTCGAGCATCGCGATTTCTTACAGGTGCGAGCTTTCGTCGGCTTGATTTTTAGCGCACAGTGGGATCACCAGGCACACATGACAGAAACGACCAGCTAGCATCAGTTCCAGCTCCTACTGTCGTTAGGGTGCTACACTTGCATTACCACGATTTCCTGCCCTCCGTCCTCCGTGAGTAGCTTCTCACCCTAAACCCTAAACCCTAAACCCTAAACCCTAAACCCTAAACCCTAAACCCTAAACCCTAAACCCTGAACCCTAAACCCTAAACCCTAAACCCTTCTCCACGTAGGAGAGATGGCTGGCATGGACTTATTCTTGTGGCTCCTGCGCGGCATGATGCTGTGGGCTTACCATCCTCTTCTGCAGCTCGCGATGCAGCTCGGTTGCCACAAAGACGTACAGTTTAGGGTTTAGGGTTTGGGGATTAGGGTTTAGGGTTTGGGGTTTAGGGTTTAGGGTTAGGGTCTAGGGTTTAGGGTTCAGGGTCGATAGGGTTTAGGGTCTAGGGTTTTGGGGCCCCGCAAGTCAGGATGCGAATTTGCTCGATGATGTGGAAAGCCTTCCTGCCGCTGGCAGAACGAACCTGGCGTGTTGTGCTGACAACGGTGCAGGCCGGTTGAGCCAAACCTGTTGGCCGGGGATGGGGATTCAATGGTCAGTGGCTAATGCAAGGATATGTCTTTAAAGGACGGATGCACGTCAAACCAACGACCCTAGACCCTAAACCCTAAACCACTCAGTTTTGCTGGTGTTCAAGGCCCAATATGGGTGGATTGAAGGTGCATCGTCGGCTGGGTTGAACCGTGTCATTGCTCAAGACACTTTGGTTTGCAGTGCTCAGGCTGCCTTGACGGCACACATCGTGCGTCTTGAAGAGTAGGGGGGGGGGGGGGGGGGGGGGGGGGGGGGGGGGCTTCGGTGCTCTTGAAAAGCTACTAGCACTGTTGCTTGCTTCAACATTTCGGTGTGTTCCTTCGGCTAAACTTTTGTGGTCATGTCACTCTGTGACATTCACTGTGCTGGTGCAAGCAAGTACTTGCACCAGATGTTGCGGCGCACAAGCTTCTGAAAGACCGGCCTCGATTTCAGCTTGCGCAGCAACCGAACCACTGCATTGGTTGCGGTTTAGGGTTTCGGGTTTAGGGCTTAGGGCTTAGGGCTTACGGCTCCCTGAAGGTTTTCATGATGCTCATCATCGCGATGGTTCTGTTCATGGCATTTCGCTACGTGTACCAGGCCACCCTGTGTCTCTTTTTCTGGGGGGGGGGGGCACGCAGTGAAACCGTTCGTTCTGGGGGGATGTTGCTACGCACATCGCTGAACGCCAAGATTCTTGACATAATGTCACATGTCAAGCGCAACATGGAGGAAGAGATCCCGAAAACCACCCCTAAACCCTAAACCCTAATAGCCCCAAACCCTAAACCCTAAACCCTAAACCCCAAACCCTAAACCTATGAGCCCCCCTCCCTTACCCCCCAAACACTGACCGTTAACTCTAAAATGTTCAGGGTTCAGGGTTTAGGGGTTAGGGATTAGGGCCCTAAACTTATTGAAGCCTTGAAACCTAAGCCAGAGGGGGGGGGGGGGGCAGAGTGAAAACCCCAATCCCTACAGCCGAACCCTAAACAACCATGAGCCACAGACCATGCTTCACTGTGGGGAGGAAGCCCTAAGCCCCCTCACCCCTCCAAACCAGAACCCCACATCCGAACCCGGCATCCCAAACCTTAAGCCCCAAAAAACCCAAGTCCTAAGCCCTGTAAACCCTACAGCCGAAGCCCCATGCAGCCGACAAGCGCTAAAGCAACTATAAAGCCTTTAAACCCTTAAAACCCTATAAACTCTATAAACCCTGTAAAGCCTATAAACCCTGAAAAACCTTATAGGCCCTGTGAATTCTATAAACCCTGTGCGCCTTCGAAAGCCTATAGACCCCTCTGAAGCCGGAGAACAGCCCCGGGGGGTGCAGTCAGCGCTCAACCCTAAACCCTAAACCCTAGGGAGGGAGGGGGGGGGGGGGCATTGGGGGGAGCCCGAAAGAGGGGTTTTTTCCAAAAGAGCCCCCATGCCCTGTGCGAAAACGCCTATGGTCCATGAGTTTACGCGGTGTGGGTGGCCTGTTCCTCCACGGAAAAGCTGGCGGGGTACCCCCCCCTACCCCCCCGCCCCCCCCCCCGATTTTGGGGGGGTAAGGAGGGAAAGAGGGAGGTCTTCACCTCCTTTTCCCATCCAACACGCCGCCAGGGTCGGCGGACCCCAAACCACAAACCCTAATCCCCAAACCCCAAACCCCAAACCCTAAACCCTAAACCCCAAACCCTAAACCCCAAACCCTAAACCCCAAACCCTAAACCCTAAACCCTAAACCCCAAACCCTAAACCCCAAACCCCTAAACCCCAAACCCTAAACCCTCAACCCTAAACCCTAATCCCCAAACCCTAAACCCTAAACCCCAAACCCCAAACCCTAAACCCTAAACCCCAAACCCTAAACCCTCTCCCCTTATACCCTGATCCCTAAACCCTAAACCCTAAACCCTAAACCTTAAACATCCCTAAACCATGATCCCTATATAACCCTGCTTTGCGCCAACTTCACAGGTCACAGAGAGCACAAGTCTGCTGCCGGCCGTGCCCTTTGTCGCACTCGCGCCTCGGCGCGTACTGCCGGTGGTTTAGGGTTTAGGGTTTAGGGTTTAGGGTTTAGGGTTTAGGGTTTAGGGTTTAGGGTTTAGGGTTTAGGGTTTAGGGTCTCCCAGACCGAGTCTATGAAAGCACGGAAAGTGATCCTTGAGAGTGGCCCGTGCTAGGACATAGGAGTTTACGAAAATCGGGGGACCCTTAAAATGGACCCCCTGATAGTAGGACTCCCTTAGAATAAGGACCCCAATAAGGGTTTAGGGTTTCGGGTTTGGGGTTTAGGGTTTAGGGGTACCCCTAATTTCAGAAACCCATCTGCTGATGCGGCATGCACCGGCTCCCCCCAAAGTCGGCTCCCCACAAAGTCGGCTCCCCACAAGGGCACCAGCAGCTAAGAAAGGGATCTTTGCGGTTTTGGGTTCAGGGTTTAGGGTTTAGGGTTTAGGGATTAGGGTTTAGGGTTTAGGGTTTAGGGTTCCCAGAAATGCGTTCAAAAATGCCCCCCACTTTCTCAGGATCATGTCATGAAGAGGAATTACTCCGAGATGTGGGGATGCATGGAGAGAGAGAGAGAGAGAGAGAGAGAGCGAGTTCCCCTAAACCCTAAAGCCTAAACCCTAAACCCTGAACCCTAAACCCTAAACCGTCCACGAGGCCATCCTGGACATCGCCCTTTTCTGGCGATGTGGGGAGCAGGTTCCAGCTTCTGGCAATCCAGGTCGCAGAGAACCAGGTCGGATCTTCAGGGCATTGGGGTTTAGGGTTTAGTTAGTATTATAATCATGATTACTATGAATATTAGTATTGTTCGTGGTAGTATGAGTACTATTAGTATTTCAGTTACTGTTGCTATGATTATAACTATGATTTTTCGCATGATTATTTGCATGAGTACGATTATTGCGACGATTATGATTATTATTACTATAATGGCCTGCCTTCGGGTTCCTGACATGTCTGGGCACGCCTGAGGTGCGTCTTCATCCTGTGCTGTGGGGCCGAAAAAGCTACAAGAGAAGAAGGCATCGGTCTGCATTTAGGATCTAGGGTTTAGGGTTTAGGGTTCAGGATTTAGGGTTTAGGGTTTCGGGTTTAGGGCTTTCTGCACTTTGAAGGGTGTTCTGGCATGGACTCTTCACGCAGCTCATGGCACAAGCCACGAAAGGCGACACCAGGCACATTGAGTTTCAGAAGCATCTGCCCTAAACCCTAAACCCTAAATCCTAAACCCTCTAGACTTCAACCCTTCATGCTAAATCTTGCGGCCCCCCTCTCCCGAACTTCTCCAGAAGTCGAGGCTGGGCACCCCGGCCACTCCTTCCATCTGTCCACGGCCGAAGCAGAGGCTGAAGGGCCACTGGTTGAAGTGAAGCTGTGAACGCTATGATTGAAAATTGTTCTCCACATTGGCTGAAAAGCCAAGAACGACTCGGGGTGTCCCGAGCCGCTTCGTTTCACTACCCGCACTCGTACAACGCCGTACGATACGGGTCGGAATAGATACTGATAGATTCCCTTATGGTCCCCCTTTAAACTGTAAGCATAGTTGTACAAAAAGAACCCCCCAAAACCCTAATTGTTCGAATTATTACGGCCCCTTTCTTATACCGCTTGACATCCTCGTGAGTGTTTTTTGGAGGGCGAATCACTGCTTTTTTCACCGCTCCGAAGGAAAAATGAGTCCGGACGGGTGAGGTTTGTAGAAGTTGTAGTATTTTTAATTTCATTCCTTTTGAAAATAAAATCATCAAGCAAGTATCCGGATGATCGTAGAATATATCAAATCTATAATGGGATTCAGCTGGGTGCATGTGGAACTTTCTTATTCTTGATATGAAACAAACCATCAATCTATATCAAAATTAGGGGGAAATCTGATGATATCTATTTTATTATCTAACCCTGAATATTCTTGATTCACGAGCAAACCCAGATTCTGATCTTC